CCATGTCTTCCTCCATAAAGTTTAGAGCTGTTTTTTTTTTTGGGGGGGGGAGTAATCTGAGGAATTATTGTCTTTATAAGCATACACTTGACATGGAAGGAAAATGCAGTTTTTATTGTTTTTATTGCTATTCTGGTCCTCATCTCTGCCCATTTATCATGACTGCACATTAGAACATTGATTCCCCCTACCTTACTTCTGGCAAGTAATAGTCAGGCAGTTTGCACACTAGTCAGGTTAACAAAACTGACCCGACTATTAGTGGAAGCAAGGCAGTTTCCTTAGGGAGCTGAGAGGGAGGGAGCAAAGACAGGGAATTAGAAGAGAAAGGTGTGTGTGCCATTCAGTTTGCCCCTAGCAAAGAAGCCTGCTGACCTTAGTTAGATATGGTGAAGGCAGGGTGGATAAAAATCAATGTTTTTTTTTTAAAAAAAACAATGATTTTTAAAAAATATATCAATGATTTTTCAAAAAATATGTCAATGATTTTTTAAAAATCAAATTGGTTTAAATCAAATAAAATCCACCCTTCTCAATGATATTCTGGAGAAGAGGACAGTAAAGGAAGAAGAAGAATAAAATCAATGGAAGAAGATCATTGCAAGAGGTCCTGACTAGGGTGGAGGGGCACACAGTTGATTTGTATTTTGATTTATGTACAGTGGTGCCTTGCATAGCGAGGTTAATCCGTTCCGGATTAACCTTCGCTATGTGAAAACTTCGTTAAACGGAAAATAAAAAGCCAAATCGGCTGAAAACTCACCATTTAGCGAAGTTTCCTGGGTCCGGCAGCCAGTTTCGTGCCTTCGGTAAGCGAGGGGAGGCCACGAAAACACTGCGCGCGGCCATTTCGGCTGTTCCGGCAGCCATTTTGGACCCGCCGAACAGCTGATCCGCAGGTCACAAAGTGAAGGTCAATAAGCGAAACGCTTACCGATCTTCGCTATGCGAGTTTCGGCCATAGAGGCTGACGCGATGCCTCCGCATTAGCGATCCCGTAAAAGGGATCGCTATGCGGATTTGTCGCTATACGAGGCGCTCGTTAAGCGAGGCACCACTGTATTTTATGTTGCAGTTTATAATAAATTAAACAAAAAATACTGTAAAATCCACCCTGGGTGGGAGGATGCTGTCCCACTATTAGGAAGTAAAATTCAATTGCCACTGAGCATTTGTCCAAGGCGTGGTGAAAACTACCATTTTATACTTTGGTTCAGGCACCAAAATTGGGCATTAAGCCAGCCCTGGAGTCTGTTGATATCATATGTGCAGTACAGTTTGTGATCTGAGGTATATGTGTGTTTGTGATCCTCCAACAGATGGTGGATTCTCTCATTTGATTTCAGAGCTCTGCTATGAGTATGAAAAAATTCAAATGGTGAATGTGTGAATCTGCTTGCCATCTCTATGCATGAACTGTACCGATCACTGACTTAGTAACAAAAGGGTTCTTGGAAAACTATTCGTTTCCCATTTATTCCCCCCTCCCCCTTAATTTGTTCTTCCCAGGATGCAAAAATCAGACATACAGTTCTCTTCCACAGTATGATCAAAAATGCAGAGGCTATCTCTGGCTAATAAAGTGTTCCATTTCCTCTAGAGGGACTCCCAAGATGCACTTGGTTCACCAAAAGGGCTTGCCGCAAAGCAGCCAGCATGACATCATTTAGGTCTTTGGCCCCCAGAAGTTCTGGCTCGCTACGCATTCTATAGCATTTCAGTAATGGATCGCTTCTGGCAGTCAGCCTAGGAGAGAGAAACAGAGGGAGGGGAGAAAGACTTTTGGGCTGGAAAAGCCTGTACTATATATTTGTTTTTGCTTTCCCTTCTTTATGCTGCGTGTATTTTGAGCACGTTTTTAATGAGACATTAATCAGATCTGTGGAGGCTACTTTCAGGAGGCTGATTTGTTTAATTTTCAGAGTACTGAAAACCTGAGAAAATACAGACCTACAATGTACTTTTAATTCATAAGGGTGGAAATCGGGAAGAGAATATGGAAACCTATCTTGCAAAACCTACGATTATGGTTGTCAGCTTCGGGTTTTCCACACTAAGTTGCACTGGCTCAGAAAGAGTGAAGTTCTACCAAGTCTTCGGGAAGACTTTCCCCCTTCAGATGGGAATTGATGCACTCCTAGCCTGCAGTGTGTATGTACAGATGTACACAGCTATCACATATACACAGTTTGCAGAGGACGAAAGCTTCTTCTTGTGCCTTTTCCCAGAAAGATTAGGGAACTGCGGAAGAAAACGTTATAGGGATGCAGGGCAGATGCCAAATGTGTAGGTGAATCAGTAGAAATTGCCAGCAGAAAGGAGAGAGAAAGGGGACTGTGGGGAGGGGAGTTGTTTGTAGGCAAGAAGCAGGTGTGTTTCTGAATGAAATCACTCCAGAATTGTTTGCAAAACAAAAAACCAAAAACCGGGGAAGGTGAAATAAAAGAATAGGCAGTAAACCCCCTGAGGAGGCTCTATTTTACTTCCTCAGAATGTGGATTTGGAAGCTTTGGCTTATGCAAATTGTAAAATGGTGAGTGAGAAATCAGAAGTTTCAGCAGCTCATTCTCAACAGACATTATTTGAAATCCACATGTAACAAAGACTCCTTCAAGTTTCCTACTTAAAAGGGAGCACTCCAGGAGCAAAGCAGCAAATAAAAGGTAGTTTACTCATGGCCACGTTCAGAGGAATTGCTGAGAAAAGCCTGGTAGTAGCACAGCTTGTTGCATTTCTGTGTGCTGCAGTCCTGCACCAGCAATACACCTTGGTGATACTGAAGAACTGCAGCAAATGTGGCAGTTTTGGTAATTAGCCCCGTTGTTGTTTAGTCGCTTAGTACTGTCTGACTCTTCGTGACCCCGTGGACCAGAGCACGCCAGGCCCTCCTGTCTTCCACTGTCTCCCGGAGTTGGGTCAAATTCATGTTGGTCGCTTCGATGACACTGTCCAACCATCTCGTCCTCTGTCGTCCCCTTCTCCTCTTGCCTTCACACTTTCCCAACATCAGGGCCTTTTCCAGGGAGTCTTCTCTTCTCATGAGATGGCCAAAGTATTGGAGCCTCAGCTTCAGGATCTGTCCTTCCAGTGAGCACTCAGGGTTGATTTCCTGCAAAATGGATAGGTTTGCTGTCCTTGCAGTCTAGGGGGCTCTCAAGAGCCTCCTCCAGCACCACAATTCAAAAGCATCAGTTCTTTGGTGGTCAGCCTTCTTTATGGTCCAGCTCTCACTTCCATACATTGCTACTGGAAAAACCATAGCTTTGACTATGCGGACCCTTGTCAGCAAGGTTAGGTGTCTGTACTTTTCTTGGAAAGGTGATGCCTCTGCTTTTTAAGATGCTGTCGAGGTTTGTCATTGCCTTCATCCCAAGAAGCAAGCATCTTTTAATTTCGTGGCTGCTGTCCCCATCTGCAGTGATCATGGAGCCCAAGAAAGTAAAATCTGTCACTGCCTCCATATCTTCCCCTTCTATTTCCCAGGAGGTGATGGGACCAGTGGCCATGATTTTTTTTTTTAATGTTGAGCTTCAGACCGTTTTCTGCAGTCTCCTCTTTCACCCTCATTAAGAGGTTCTTTAATTCCTCCTCATTTTCTGCCATCAGAATGGTATCATCTGCATATCGGAGGTTGTTGATACTATTTCTTCCAGCAATCTTGATTCCGGCTTGGGATTCCTCCAGTCCAGCCTTTCACATGATGTATTCTGCAAATCAGTTAAATAAGCAGGGAGACAATATACAGCCTTGTCGCACTCCCAATTTTGAACCAATCAGTTGTTCCGTATCCAGTTATAACTGTTGCTTCCTGTCCAACGTATAGGTTTCTCAGTAGATAGATAAGGTGTCTGGGTTGTCCCGTATATCCAAATCTTTCTGATATAATTCCTCTGTGTATTCTTGCTACCTCTTCTTGATATCTTCTGCTTCTCTTAGGTCGCTCCCATACAGGTAGCATTGAAGCAGGGTGTGTTATGCCTTTTCCAAACACTTGAATCTGAATGTACCTTCTGTGTATGTTCTTCTTCATGCCAAAGCTTCTCATTGAAGGAACCTTGTTTTGGTTGCTGTGGGACAGTTAAGCCTGAACCTGATGGGTTTCCCAGCATGAAACTAGTTTCTAGGGACTTATTTGAGCAGGGCAAGGACAAAGTATTTATTACACACCACTGAGATAATTGATTATGTACTTTTAGGCTACTGTATGCCATTCTAATTTTGTACCTGGAGGCATCACACTCACTCTGATTTTGCTTCAGATGTCATCGTGTATCTGCATCTTATGTTGATGCTGGGAGATAGCCAAATCAGAAGGAGAATAATGCTTAATCTCACACTCCAGTATCTGGCGAGGTGGTGTTAGTAAGTTAGATAGGAATGAAACACCACTGCTTATGTGGGTTGTGGACAGTCAGCAAAGGCAGCAAGAAAGATGAGTAAGAAAGCTTTCTTCAATTTTTGTATTTTCTGGTCTCGCCTTAACTCCTGTTCCCATCTCTTTTTCACTGAAAAAGTTCACTGGTATACTTCTGGCTCAGTCCTAGAGACGATGTTTGGCAGTCTTCCACAAACTGAAGAAAAGACACAAACTCCTCAGTTTTTGAGGCTTAGGGACAAGAAAGGGCGTCTGTTAGAGCAGGGTAGTTTTGTTTGATTGTTTGGCTGAAAAATATGCCAAACAACCAAGTTGGTGTATGCTTCTGCGACCTCTTGATTTCAATATAGATATCTGTATTGCTCAGGGAGCCATAAACATAGAGTCATAGAGAAGAAGTGTTGTCTTGCCCAATGCACCTATGAATACAGTAGTCACTTCCCGGAAGTGATCTGTGTATAGGGTTTTTTCCCCAGCGGCAAAACGTGTGTAAATTATTGCACAGAAGATAAAATTCTATGGAACCTTATTTAATAAATTAAAGCTCAAATATTTTGCTGGAACTTCTGTAGCAATATAGTGCTATTATCTGACTTCCCTGAACTATCTTTCTTTTCCTCTACAGGTGTACATTATCAAGGTTACCTGGTCCAATGGCTCTACAGAGGTCATTTATCGACGATACAGCAAGTTTTTTGACCTACAGGTAGGAGTCTTGAAAACTGTTGCTGTATTTTGACTCTGCATTGGCAAAGGGTCCCTTCTTGGATAAGGTTCTTCAGCAGGTGGTTGCCAACCAGCTTCAGATTCTTTGGCTCAAATTTGCTATCTTTATCTTACTTGGAGTTTAGGCTGGTTTGATTGCCCTGAACAATGGCATATACGGAGAGAGAGGCGGGGGTGCAGCCTTCTTGGTTCCCCTTAACTCATTCGGTAGTTTTTGATACAGTGAACCATGGTATCTTTTTTTTTACAACAGCCAAAGTAGTGACATAGGCGGGGGTGTAGCCTTCTTGGTTCCCCTTAACTCACTCGGTAGTTTTTGATATAGTGAACCATGGTATCTTTTTTTTTTTTACAACAGCCGAACTAGCGACAATGCTTTGTGGCGGTTGAGTTACTATTTAGATACTTGATGCCAGATTTTAGTGTTTTCAGATTATAGCTCAACTCCATGGATTACACCGTTTATGGTTCCTGAGGAATTGGGTTTCTCACCCATGCTATTTTACATCTTCACTAAACTATTGAGAGGGGTCACCTGGAGTTTTGGAGTGCCTTATCATCTGATCATATGTAGCTGTAGTTTCTGTTTTTCATCTTCAGCTGTGATGTGATGTTCTGAATCCGTGCTTAGTTGTGAACTTGACGATGGCTAATGAGTTGAGGCTGAAGAGTTCTTGATGGGTGGTTTTTCAGATCAGATGAACAGAGTCCCAACTGCTAGATAGGGTTATGCTAATCCTCATGGAGCAGGTTTGTATTGATGGTTTCTCTTGGATCTGGCACTGTCCCTTGAGGTACAGATAGCCTCAGCTATGTAGAACTTTAGCTGGTGGGATAACCTAGCTTCAGTGATCTGTGATATGCTAACTTCTGGGTTAAACTACTGTGGTATGCTGCACATAGGGTTGTCTGATAGCAGCCATAAGATAGAAGCATATGACACCTGATCTGGACTGGTTGTACAGATTGCTGATAAATTTCCGAGTCCAGTTCAAAGTGCTGATTTCAACTTAACAAGTCATACGAGAGTGAGGTCTCCTACACTTGATGGAATGCTTCTCTGATTAGGAACCTGCCTGTATCCTGAAGTCAGTTTTGACACCTTCCTCTGAGTGCTTTTTTGGAATGTGATGACAAGGGTGTAGACATTCCATTTGTGACTCTTCAGATATAGAATATTCCTTCTACTGAGGACTGGCTGGCCCCAGTGCTACAGTCCTTTTTGGTGCCTGGCAAATACGTCCCACACACCTTCGGTTCCAGATGCATAGTTCTTTGTAATGGATACATTTATTGCTTTTAACCTTTGAATAAGACATTTCAAGTGTTTTGTAGAAAATGTTAATGGATTGAATTTATGAGATGCTGGTGAACTCTGTTCTTGGGAGCATTAATATAGTTTTATCTGACTTAGAGTTGACAGTGGCCACAGCTATCGGGGAACAATTTTATGCTCATACAAAGCTAGCCCAGACAATTTGCAGAACTCTGCAACTTCAAAATCAGGGTGCCGGAGGATCAAACAATAGACCAGTTGACCTAGCCTGCCCACTTTACTGAACTCTGCATGATTGCAGGAAGTATCATGTAACTCTGTCCCACATCATTCCTTTTCTAAGGCATGCAAAGTACTCCACAATCCATCCTCAGTTCTGATCACCTTGGAGCAAGATTACGTATATGTTGGTGGGGTTCCTTGGAATCCACAGAGGCCGAGATGAAGAGATTCCTCTACAGGTTGCCTCACCCCACCCCATGCTCGTTACATTGGTTAACATCAGTGTTTAACTGGGACAGGACTACGTTTTACCACGACTATTTTTTAAACATTGTTTCTTAATTACTTGTTTTACTGCAGTTTTTATTTGGTATTTTTAGAGATTAGTTTTAATATTAATAACTGCTATGGAAGCCAGTTTGAAACCAAAAGGAAAGATGGCGGAAATGAGTAAGACAAGCAGCAAGAAAGATATGTTCTGTGCTCAGCTTGTTGTAAACTTCTAGGATGCTGACTCTTAATTCATACTAATGAGTGGTCCAGGCTATGGTGTTTTGGCCAGTGACAGAACTGTTGCCAAAAGCAGGGCTGCATGGCAAACAGTATGCTGGGTTTGATTTTCAAAGCTATAAAGCTTTAGAGAATATTTTGTGTTTGGTCCCATATTTTCATTGTTCTCTTTCTTCAGCTCCTGCTCACTGGCGTAATTGGTGGCTACGAAGCTTTTGGCACCCAGTGGTGGTTTAGTAAACAGCATTTAGGAGTTACTCCTGTGCTGTTATTCTGAGCAACTGAATAAAGACTCCTTCATTCAGTTATTCAGCTGGTTTTCTCAGGTTTAATTTCAATAATGTCTGCAATGAGTTCTTTTGTACGATTTAGATAGTATTAAATACTTCTACTCCATATTGGCAGCACTGTGTTTTTGTAGAAAGACAATTCATTGCCATGTTTCAGAGTTCATCTTGTTTTTCTGCAGTGTAATTGTGACACACTGATTATATTTTAATAAATATAAAATAAACTGTGGTGATGTAATCTGAAAGTTCACATGTGTAACAATTAACAATTCTGCACATTCACCACTTTCTCTTAATAATAGAATGGTTCTTTCTAATATTAATAATAAATAATAAATAAGTAAATAATAAATAAATAAATAAATTTCCAGGCTATTTGCAGCTTGTGCCAGTTTCTGGTGATGCTCGATCTGGCTACAGTGAGATGTGCCTCAGCTGTATCTTACTTAATTGTACTGTAATACATTCTGCATGGAGCTACCTTTGAGAATAGTTTGGAAAATACGGCAAGCAGGGAGTACGTAACTTTCCTGTTACAACAACTATACTGGCTTTCAAATCATTTCTGTCTAATCAAAGTGCTGTTTTTGACCTATAAAACCTTGTATACCCTTGGTCTAGGCTTTCTGAAAGTTGGTATCTCCCCATATAAGTCTCCACAAGCATTAATATCATTAGGATAGGTCCTTCCCTCAGTCCTGCCACACAAAAATGTATCCAGTGATGCTGTGGTTAATAGTAACCATCTCTACTATTATGTATTGTTATATTTACTGTTATATTTACATCTCATGTGCTTTGGGTACAGTTGTGTAGGAAAGCAATGTGTAAATAGATGGAGAATTATAAAATAATTGAGTTGGAAGAAGTCTAAGGCCATTGAGTCCAGCCCTGCAGGAATCCAACTCAAAGTAGTAATGATGAGATGATGATGATGATTTCTGAGGATTATGGTTTGGACACTCCTTATCATTGACAAAGCTACAGTGAATGATCTGATTTGATATGAACTTGAGGACAGAAGAGTGGCGAATGCTTAGGAAAAGGATGCTTGGATGAACTAGATATGGGTGATTATGATCAAAGCAGACAGATGAAATCTATTTAATTCTGGGCATCTAATAGAGAATGTATTTCCAAAGGGTGTTGCAGCAAGGAAACTAACTGTGCTTTATAAGCCAGAACAAAAACTTGGCTGCTGATCACAAATTAACCCTGCATACATGGGAAAGCAAAATTCAGTCTTACTTTTAGTTGTTTCCAAGTCCTTATGGTTGTGGTATCTCTTTGATGTATCGAAATCAGAACAGGGCCAGGAAGTCTCAGAGACAGGGCATAGTTATTTGGTTAACTATGTTGGTTATAGTGTTTTTGGAACAGAGTTCTTACCCATAGCACATACTACATTTGCTGATACAGTAGTTTGAAAATTAAGAAAGTCAAAATTCTTCATGACTTCTAACTGGATTATCTGCTTCCTGATTTCAGCTACTTTACTTCGTATTCAGTTTTTTTGGCTCACCAGGAACATTATTCCTGGTTTTGTGTTGCCTAACCTGTTGTGCCTTGCATACCAGCTCAAAAAGGGAAAATTTTAAGGTGGCCCTCAGCGTTGAAAGCATGTACTGTATATACTTAAGTTTTGATTCTGTAATTACCTTTAAGGTCTTAGTGATGTTCCTGGTGGCTTTGGAAATGAAAAGTACCTTGTGGGCTACAGTATCTAATACAGTTACTTTCATTAATCTTCCTTTCCGTTGAATGATTTCTGGCTTCCACTCCTGTCCTTTTAAAATTTTCTTCCATTGCATTGTGCCTTATGCTAGTAAACTTGGTACAGGAAAAAGTCTGGATTAATGTTCTGCCATAAATCTTAAACTTATGTTTCTCTCCAAGGTTATTTCAGATGGAAGAATGGTTTTCGTAGAAAAGAACTTTTTCCTACCCTGTTTCCCTGAAAATAAGATCTAACCTGAAAATAAGCCTTAGTATGATTTTTTAGGATGCTTGTAATATAAGCCCTACCCCCAAAATAAGCCCTAGTTAAGTGAAAGCCCACCCTCTACCATTGTGCAGCAACCAGAAGAAGATGACATGACTGTATTTGAATAAACTTAGATTGTACATGAAAAAAATAAAGCATCCCCTAAAAATAAACCCTAATGCTTTTTTCGGAGTAAAAATTAATATAAGACCTTGTCTTATTTTTGAAACAGGGTATTAGCTCATGCTCTATTCTGCCAGGTGATGTATTGTAGGTGCCATTACTTTAGAAGCAAAATACATTTGCTTTTGGAATGGAAGTGGCTTGTGCTATGGCACCAGTATTTTGGCCACTGATCCATTGGGAAGTATGATGACTACTTTTTCTCTGGTGTGAGAATTTAGTAACTAAAGGGTTCTTATTGTTGTGCTACTAGTGTTAAACTTGAGTGCATAGATTTCTTTATTTGAAAGTGCAAATCAGAAGGAAATGGGTGTAGAATATAATATTTGACTTCCTTGTCTTCACATGCAGCTAGAAATTGATAAGAAACCATGTGCTGCCACTCAGAATTATGGGCTGAATGTCCTTTTGGGAGATCCTGTTATGTGTAATATCTATTAAACTTAAAACAGTGAATCTGATTCACAGTAATTGTACTTTCTCTTGTGTTTGTTTTCACCTGTGGTTTGAATGGG